CTGGACTTTCTACCCCTAATCCTTTACTTCACCATATTAACTAGTTTTCAGTTCCCAAACATAGTAGGCCTCCATAACTTTGGACACTTGATTCTCTGTCTAGAAATTCCTTCACTTTTTCTTGGCAACTTTTCTTTTTTTTTTTTTTTTTAAAGAGGAGGTTTTTTATTTATTTATTAAAGATTTATTTATTTATTTGAGAGAGCGAGAATGAGAGAGAGTACATGAGTGGGGGGAGGGTCAGAGGGAGAAGCAGGCTCCTCGCTGAGCAGGGAGCCCGATGCGGGACTCGATCCCGGGACTCCAGGATCATGACCGAGCCGAAGGCAGCTGCTTAACCAACTGAGCCACCCAGGCGCCCTTTGGCAACTTTTCTTCTCAAGTATCACTTCCTAAGTGAAGTCATTCTGTAACTTATCACAATGCAACCTAATTATTTGAGTATGGTATGTCTGTCAAATTATATAGGGAGTACCCCAAGAAGAAGAACTGCACTCCATCTTACTTATTTTGTATCCCTCCCCTTTCTTCTCCACTCAATGCCTATTTCCTATCTTGGTATTTGGTACATTAATAAGGACTCAATAGTCCTTGAATGAACAACTAATAAATTACTAACTACAGCATTACTGGGAAGTACAGATAAGAAAAGATGTCAATAGAAATTTTTGAGCTTGGTCAACTAGGAAAAGAGTAAAAAAGCTAGAAAAGAAAGGAAATGAAAGCATTTTAGACAAATGAAACAACACAAAGACTCTTAGATGCAAAATTCAACAGTGTGTTCTAAAAAGGGCACACAGTTCTGTTTTTTTTTTTTTTTTAAGGGTACAAAGTTCTAATAGCACATAAGCACCTCACAAAAAAGGGTCTGTATTCCTCATATTTATCCCTGTTCTTACCACTTATTAAAATGTATTTTTAAAAATACAGTTATTTATAATAGGAAAGTCTAATGCTGTTTACTCTCTGAACTAGAGCATTACTAAAGTGCTAAAATAGAGTGAAAGTCACATTTGCACTAAGTGAGGATGTCATCAATTCTTGATAAAGTAATGAAGTATTATTAGGCAGGCCAACAGTTAGTTACAGTACCTATTCGCAGTGACAACAAGAGTTCTATAATATGGCTAAATACACAAGACAATGTAACAAAAAATCACTTTGAAGTTTATTCTAAATAGGATTATTTACCGTGATTTTTAAAAATAGTTCATGAAATGTTTAGTCAGTGTTCAAATTTCTAATCCCCACTCCCACTCTCCCCAACAGTTTGGGTCAGGATCCAGATAAAGTACACACATTGATGTGAATGCAAAATTGTTTTAACTAGAAAAGGTTGAAGAGGTAGATGAAAAGATTGCTAAAGGCAACTTTTTGGTATTTTTGCCTCTTCTTAAGTTAGTGACATCTATCCTTGGTTATTTCTATATTATTTTTAAATCTCCCGGCTCTCTCCCTCTCTCTTTTTAATTGAGTAGTGTTTTACAATTACTAGCCATAATTATACTTGATTTATTTATAAATGGACTGAAGTAGAGAGTAGGTGGAAAGTGAAATGTGTTTTTCTAGCAATTAATGTAGTAGTAGATACAAATAAAGAAGTAGAAAGATACATTTATTTAGCTGTATTAGTTCCCTGAGAGGATGAAATATTCCCTCTATCCCCTATCATGTTTAGCCCTAGAGAGTAACATACTCATTAAAAACTGTGCAAGGGGCCTGCCCCGTCCCTACAGACAAAACCTTGAAAAACTAGTCTGTCTTTGCCTACATCAGGCTGACTGTGTGAGTCCTCATCTAACACCTGCACTGAAACAACTTTATACCAAATCTGTTTGGAGCTATAGGCCAGTTAGTTTTATCCCCTCTGTCATCACTGGTCACCACATAAAATATAAACCCTTCTGTCATCTACCTGTTCTCATACTTTTATACTAAAACTGCTCTATGCTTCTCCCTGATCCAGCATCAAACTATTGCCACCTGTCCCATGATTTTATATTGTATCTAATGGGACCCTTCCTTCAATGGTAAACATCTTTAACTTAACTGTGGGTCACAGTGCTGCCATCCATCATCTGTGTGTCTTTGTGCTGATGTAGATGATCACCCAACTGCTGAGCCTTTTAGTTCTTAGACTGAGGCAGTTAAAATGTCTTTCACTTCCACTATACTTCAGCTACCTGCTCATGGCCACATTAACAGGCCATATCATTCAGTAAAATGCTCTAACTATGAAATAAAATTCAAATATTTTACCTTATCACACAAACCATCTATCCTTCTCTCTCTTCAACTATAGTGTACTTACATATATCATTCTAGGATTTAGTTATGCCTCCAAGTCCCTTGGATCCTCCGCTTGTCCTTTCACATTTCTAACTCAGGCTAAATTCCACAGCTGGTGATCTCAAGTCCTCTTTCACAGCATCTGAAATTTTGTCCCTATTTTTCTGTCATAGCAGCCCCAAATTTCAGCCAGTGCTATCATTGACTCTCTTGGCACTTTTGATTCTAGATACCTAGGACTATGGGTGAGGAAGGGCATCCAGAATGGATCCATCCATTGGTCTCACTGGGTCCTTAGTGGCCCACTAATCCAAAAACAAGTAGTTTTTCTTCAGATCCCTTTCCTGTTTCTCTCAAACATTATTCCAAACCTTTACTGCATTTCTAAACCCTCTAACTTAACTCAATTGTTCCAATCTCAACTGACGTCTTTCCTCTTTTCTATCTTACAAAAATCATGGTCTCCTTAACCTCTTCCCTTTCTCCCTCCATCCCTTACCTATTGCCATACCTATCCTCTCCCCTCCCTCACAAAACAACTCTCCAAATGTGCCCTGAATTCTTTTTTCTTCCTTTTTCAGTCTTCAAATTTCTTATCTATATCTTTATTTCCTGCTTTTTACTGGCATCTTTCTTTTAATTTATAAGGCTCTCAAGTCACTACTAAAATAAAGGAAGAGGAAAACCTCAGCTTTATCAATAATACCAGGCATTCTGAGTTATCTACATTAAAGGAACTCATGTCATTCTTCAACATAAAGAAAGGCTAAAAAATACCACAAGTCACTTCATATCTTCAATATTCTGCCTCTGGTTCTAGATTTTTTCAAATAAATCAGTGACAACCTCTTTCACATTCCAGCGAAAACTCATCAAGAAATATCTGTATGGCTCACTCATTTAGCTTTCTTTCTTACCTTTGTTACTGCTCTTCTCTCTCTGACCTCAAGAAGACTGTCTACTACAAACTGTCTCTTGAATGGAGTTTAAGAGCATCAAATAATGAAACACACTGTCCAAAATGAAACCATGGGATTTAAAACTTCAACACACTTCTTGCTCTTCCTTTCTACCTTTGCTTATTCTCGTTTTATCTGTGTGAATATCTTCCTCTTCCAAAAGCATCTCCTCAAATGAGCAAACAACAGAATTAAGAAAATTCTGGAGTGGGGGAGATGGTAAAGATAATATAATTTAATATAATGCCTTATCAGAGATAATGGAAAATGGTTTCAAACTATTTAAGGCTAACTTTTTAGACACAGATGATAAAGAATTATTATTTATTTTCCAGACTAGTCCCTCTTTCTTGAGGGTCAAAATCCTTTTCATTTTTATTTATTTATTTTTAAAAGATTTTATTTATTTATTTGTCAGAGAGAGGCACACTGAGAGAGCGCACACAAGCAGGGGGAGAGGCAGAAGGAGAAGCAGGCTCCCTGCTAAACAAGGAGCCCGATGCGGGACTCGATCCCAGGGCGCTGGTATCATGACCAAGTGAAGGCAGACGCTTAACCGACTGAGCCACCCATGCGTCCCTCCTTTTCATTTTTAAGTGCAGATACAAATATGAGGAAAATTAAAGAAGATCTGGTTTATTTATTCAAAACTTTATATTTTAATTATACATTTAGCACTGTTTAGCTTAACCTCAGTAAAACAGTATGCCAACACTCTCCAAACTTTATCACACACCTATTAGCAAAAAATACAGAGATATATCTCTCCCTACTGTACTATTATAAAACATATATAAAAGAACAATGAGATCAATAAATATGAACAGAAGTTCAATTATTTCTTTCCCCAAAGAATCATCATTTATAACTGCCCCTTTGGAGCACATACTCTGGACTACCAAAGAGGAAAACAAATAATACACTGAATGGTTTGATATAATAAGCTAAATTTATACACTGATTTTTAAGAAATTCAACTGTTTAAAATAAAATTTTACCAGTGCTATTTATGAACAGTGTCATAAGGAGTACATACATGTGATGGTGATGAAAAGGAAGAAAAATCATATATTTCTGTTTAAATTATAAACAGAGCTATGGGTTACTATTATATTTACGGCAATTTACGGACGCCGGCTCTAAGTACTCTCCTGCATTTGTCAAAGAGGTTTGAGGAGTTCTCTGACGCTAGGATTTAGCTTCAACTAGAACACTAGAACACCACTAAAAAGACTAAAAAATCCTTCTTATTTTTACACAATAGTATTATAACATAGTAGTATTATAAGCCAAGAAAGAAAAGAGTCAAACTTAGACAAAAAACAGAGAACTAATTACAAAATGCCAACATACAAAAGAAATACGTTATATGTGTTTTTGAATGTATAATAATACTGAATTCACAATTTTTAGTTTGGAATTCATTCCAAACAGTCGTATGAATAAGAAAGGAAAAAAATAAAAAATATATAAAAGATTCTCCACCTCTTTGAAAGGAATTCCATAGGCCTAGTTTTATTTTACTCTCTCCTGCCTGTGATGGATCATAATACGTACTGAAGTCCTTAGTCTTGCCAAACTCCACCTTCATTACACAGAAGAATTAAGAATTAAGAATTCAAGCACTTTATTTATAAAGTAGAAGTTATTTAGTTGTGGTTTACCTCAGAACTGAAAAGCCTTAATTAAAGAAAGCCCTGTAGTGAGGATAGAGTGTACCTATTATGCTTTTTAAAACCACCTTTTACTTACGTCAACTGGGACCAGAAGACTCTTGCCAAGATGCTGATTAAAGGACAGGCACCAGGCTTCAGTGTAACCATTCATGTTAGGAACATACTTCTTTATTGTCTCATCATTCAGTCTCAGCCATACCCCATCATCATTGTGGATCTACGGAAATAAGCAATGAAAACAAACCATGCCCACCTGTAAGTCCTATGAGGCTAGCAAGGGCTAAAAGGCTACAGAGCAGGCAAACGATGGTGGACATGAAGATTAAGCATCTAGCTTTTGCAGGAGGTAAGTAAAAGAAAAACTTTAAGGAAAAAGCAGCAAAGAATGACAAGCAATGTGGTAATTCACAAGGTAAGATAGTAAAAACAATGTCACTTAGGAGTAAAAGCACAGCGAAATCACACATTAAGAGAGTTTAAACATAAAATGTTTGTTTCTTAAAAGAACATAAATTCTTCCCTCCCCTCAATTTAGATTTCAATAATCAGAAGTTACTTAGTTGTATTAATAGAAAAATATGCTGTCCAAATAGGTGTTTTAAACACATTTAAAAACAATACTTAAAATATTTAAGAAAAACTGTACCCATTTTTTTTTCTGATTTTTTTTTAAATTTTATTATGTTATGTTAGTCACCATACATCACTGGTTTTTGATGTGGTGATCCACAATCCATTGTTTTCGTACAAAACCCAGTGCTCCATTCAATACGTGACCTCCTTAATACCCAGTGACCTCCTTAATACCCATCACCGGGCTAACTAATCCCCCCTCCCCCTCCCCTCTAAAACCCTGTTTGTTTCTCAGAGTCCATAGTCTCTCATGGTTCACTCTCCCTCCATTCCCCCGCCTCCTCATTTTTCTCTTCTCCTAATGTCCTCCATGCTATTCCTTATGTTCCACAAATAAGTGAAACCATATGATAATTGACTTTCTCTGCTTGACTTATTTCACTTAGCATAATCTCCTCCAGTCCCATCCATGTTGATGAAAAGTTTGGTATTCATCTTTTCTGATGGCTGAGTAATATTCCATTGTATATTTGGACCACATCTTCTTTATCCATTCATCTGTTGAAGGGCATCTTGGCTCTTTCCACAGTTTGGCTATTGCGGACATTGCTGCTATGAACATTGGGGTGCATATGGCCCTTCAACCCATTTTCAGTATTTGTACAGGTTCTGTTTCTTTTGTTTGTTTTGTTTTTTAAAGATTTTATTCATTGATTTGAGAGACAGAATGAACAGTGGGGAGTGGAAGAGGGAGAGGGACAAGCAGACTCCCCACTGAGCTGGGAGCCCAATGCGGGGGGCTTGATTCCAGTACCCCGAGGTTATGACCTGAGCCGAAGGCAGACACTCAATGGACTGAGCCACCCAGGCGCCCCCAGGTTCTAGTTGTTAATTAAGTTTCTTTCAGGTTAAAAATATAATTTCATTTGTTTTAAAATATAATTTTACTTTTTTGTTGATAAAATAAAATGTTTGAAACTCAGTGAACACATCCCACAAAACAATTTTCCAAACACTATCCAAACCAATTAAAACATACTAGCAGAAAATTTAGTAACCTTATTATCATGCAAACAATGCAAAAACTTTCAGTCCAAAATTTATTACCAAGTGTTTCTTTACAAATTACCTCATCAATGAAAGTGATGGTTCCATTGACTTTTACTATGCCTATCTGCTCACTTTGAAGGGAAGGGTGGCTACGGATACGGAGTCCTGCACTGTCCTTGGCCACAAATTTTCGAACCTGGGAAAGGCAAAGACAGACAGCTGAGATGGAAAACCATAGCACAGAGATCTTCTAAATAACAAGAAAATTAAACAGATTTGGGAGTATTATAATTCTGAGAAAGTTCCCAAAATTATTTGCAGTTGGTTTCCCTGTGCAAGTAACATTGGTTTATTTATAACAACAGAATTTTACAAGTATTAAATGTACATATTTATAATTTCCTTTCTAAACTTTGAAGACATATGATAAAAAGGAGAAAAGACCCATTTTTTTTCATTTTAGAAAGGTATGATACAAATTCTATTACCAATATTTCCTTTTTAATAGTTTACCAAAATCCCTATATTTACTTTCTAGATGTTAGGAAATTATTTTTTCTTTTAACAGTACAGGATACTCTCCTTGCAAACTTTATGTACTTAATTTCAGTAAAATTTTTGTTAATTGTAAATTTTCAATAACAGAAGTACACAAGGCCTATAAATTACTACAGCATTATACAAAGAAGCCTAAAAGTACAGGTTCTACAATTTAGAAATGATTAGAATTACCACAAAATACTCTTCAAATTTATTTTGGGATATTTAGAATTCAAATACTGAAATCAACTAACTAAAATATTAGATGTTCGATGACCACCTTGGAACATCAGTGAATAAAATTAATAAATCTCTGACCAATTTAGATTCTTATTTCATTCTATCCTAACCTTATTTGGTTGAGGTTCAGTCTTTGGTTTGACCAACTGAGTTCCTGGTGGTATCATCCCTTTTGGTGGGTCTTTTACTTTAACTTCTAGGCCAGCATCTGTAAGAAAAGGAAGGGAACTGTAACATTTAAGAATACAAGGGGGAAGGATCGTTAAACCTAACCTTATGTACATTCACAGAGTATTTTAAACAAATAAAATGAATATTTAAATTCTATCTTTTTAAGGTGATTAATATTTAAAAGCTAAAACACAGACTCCTAACTATAGAGAACACACTGATGATTACCAGAGGGGAGGTGGGTGTGGGGATGGGTTAAACAGGTGATGGGGATTAAGGAGTACACTTGTGATGAGCACTGGGTGATGTATGGAAGTGCTGAATCACCATATTGTACACCTGAAACTAATATTACACTATATGTTAACTAACTGGAATTTAAATAAAAACAAGAGCAAAAATCAAAACTATAATAAAACCTTATGTCTATCAGAATGGCTAAAATTAACAACACAAGAAACAACAGGTGTTGGTGAGGATGTGGAGAAAGGGGAACCCTCTTGCCCTGTAGGTGGGAATACAAACTGGTGCAGCCACTCTGGAAAACAGTATGGTGGTTCCTCAAGAAGTTAAAAATAGAGCTACCCTATGATCTAGCAATTACACTACTAGGTATTTACCCAAAAAATACAAAAATACTAATTCAAAGGGATACATGCACCCCAATGTTTACGGCAGCATTGTTTGTTTTGTTGATAAAGAAAATAAAATGTTTGGAACTCAATGAACACATCCCACAAAACAATTTTCCAAACACTATCCAAACCAATTGAAACATACTAGCAGAAAATTTTGTTTATGGCAGCATTATCTACAATAGCCAAATTATGGAAACAGCACAAGTGTCCCTTGACAGATGAATGGATAAAGAGGTGGTGTATATGTACAATGGAATATTACTCAGCCATCAAAAAGAACGAAATCCTGCCATTTGCAATAACATGGATGGAGCTCGAGTATATTATGCTAAGCAAAATAAGTCAGAGAAAGAAAAATACCATATGATTTCACTCATATGTGGAATTTAAGAAACAAAACAAACAAAAGCTAAACAAAAGAGAGAGAGGCAAACCAAGAAACAAGAGTGCACACTGATGGTTACCATAGGGGAGGTGGGTGGGTGAGGGGACTAAGGAGTGCACTTGTTGTGATGAGCACTGAGTGGTGTATGGAAGTGCTGACCCACTATATTGTACACCTGAAACTAATATTACACTGTGTTAACTAACTGGAATTTAAATTAAAACTTAAAAAAAAAAGAGAGAAATATTTGAAAAATGGCCTTAGGATTCCAAATGAGTGTCTCAGAGGTTCAAGGAAAAGAGAAGGGGTCCCTATTCCCTATCTATGAAATGATACTGAAAAAATATATAAAGAAGACAAGAAACCCTTGTGAAGTTAAATGTTAGCTCACATCAGATCGCTGCGCCAGCTCACTGCTTCAGGTTATAACATGAGTGACACCAATCACCATTCTAGCCAGCAGGCAGCACAGCATGGTCGTTAAAAGCTGGGGGAGGGGGGATTCTCATGTTACTGTCTTGGTTGTTCCCCTATCTGCTGCTTTTGTCTGTCTCTCAGTACCTCAATGTTTTTATCTATAAAATGAGAATGAGAGTAGCACCTACCTGGCTGAGCTATTGTGAGAATGAGATGATTTAAAATATAAGGTGTGCATAAGACAATGTAGACATAATTAAGTGCTCAATAAATATCAGCTATTAATAGCATCGTTATTCTAATGATTTATTATCTGTCCTTGCCTAGGGTCAAGCAAGGTCCCAGCCTACTGACAGTTTGGTCACCTTGGAAAAAGTTAAATTTGAAAGGTAGGAAAGAAAATGATTTTAAGTAAATATGAATCATTTCCTTCAGTTTCATTTCAAAAAACAAATATAAGTGGATTTTTCTTATCTACCTTGTATCAGTTTTCTTCAGCCCATTATTAGTGAAAATTAAGCCATTCTTGACTACCTCCACTTTGAATTCTTATAATTTGTACTTCTCATGTATCACTACTTACATTCTACTTCATGTGATTTTGTTTGCCCATTTTATCACGCAGTCATCAGTAACTGTTAACACTTGAGGAAATGTCTTACCTAGAACAATGTTTTGCTCAGAACCAACTAAAGTTTGCTGAACTAAAGGCTTTATAGATATGTTGAAATAAAGGAGAGTGCAGCAAAGACTGAGGATAAAAGTCTCTGGAATAGGGGAATCTGATATATCTGATTATATACAGTTACATTAATGCATATTCTATACCGTTACATAAACATAAAGTGCCTCTTTACCTTCACTGTAAAAACAAACTACTTAAACCAGAGTTCTTCAAAGGGTATTTTGGTGGAATGTTAATCAGTATTGCTTTTATCTCTACCTTCACTCCCTCTTCCCTACAGCAAAAGGTCTCAGGATAAGGGTTAAACAAAGTTAGACAAGATTCTTAATTTCAGGGCTTTTAGAATCCCTTCTATGTTAATGTGAATTGTATGAATGTCTAAGGTGAGAGTTTTAGGTTTTCCAAATCTACCTCATCAAAGAAGCCCTTTCTCTTGAAAAGCATCAGGAATTAGTGTTACAAGGAATTTATATTGATAAACACTTACTAAAGCTTTCTTGTTCTATTGTTGTCTCTTACATGAATAGTAAAGGAAAAGATTAACACCCAAAGGAAAAGCAATATACTTTTCAGAGTTAGTGGTGGATAAAGAAAATTCATTCATTCAATAGGTATTTATTGAGCAGCCATTATGTGCCAGGCACTGATCTAGATACAAGGATGAATGAGATGGTCTCTGCTCTATGCAAGGAAAGGCAGACAGACCATGAGGGGGAGATGAGGATGTACATGGTTATAAATTTAGCAACAGAGAGGAGATCATACTTGACCAGTCACATTAGAGAATGGAGGGAAGGAGTCATGAGCACTATAATGATACCATAAATTATTACAAAATTTTGAGATGTTATGAATGCACTAATTAAGTAATCACTGTAAAGGAGGAAATGAAGACCCAAATAAGTAATTAAACCTGTCCATGTGTCTACAATATAAGTTAAGGAGAAAACTAGAACAGAAAGACAATTCTGATCCTGGTTGTTTGCACTAAGTAACTCATAACTTAAAAAAGAATACCTATTTCAATGCCATCGATGGTCACATGAATAGTGTAGAGTCCAATAGCCCCTGGAGTCCAATTTGCACAATAAGTGCCATCATTATTGACACGGATCAGCATATTCTCACTGGGTCTGAAAAGAAATAAGATGGATATTGGAAAATTTACTTTTGGTTAAACAGCTGACAACATCATTAAGATAATTTCTAACTGTATTATTACAATGGATGGCAATCCTATTGTCCTGCCACAGTATGTGTTCTTACCCTCCAAAATGACAATTTCATGTTTTTTTTCTTCTCCTCAAACCTCCATCACCCTTCTTCTGCACTCTCAGAGGATCATGATCTCACCACTTTTTTTCAGTGAGAAACAGAATTAGATACAAACCCAAAGTTGCAATGAGATTAATAAACCTACTTTCCATTTCTCTACCTTCTATCCTGTTATAATGAAAGAAGTGCCTTGGCACTCATTTAAAGCAAGCCCCCTCATTTGTGCTGTGAATCTCATTCCCTCAACACATCCATGCTGTAATTACCTTGCTCGCTCTCATGCATCATCAATTTCTCCCACTTTACTGAATCATCTCTATTTCCATCTCATTTCTATATAAACAAACTTCAGAATCTCCTAACTTAAACACTCCTTGATGTGTCATAAGACCACCTCTAATAAGGTCTCATGTCCCCTTTCCCATTTATATCAAAACTTTAATCTAAAGAATGGTCTACAATCACCCTCTCCCATTTCTTCTTTCCCAGTTCTCTTCCACAACTTATCCTAGTTAGGCCTATGTTCCCAGCACTTCACTGCAATTGCTTCTGTCGGTCACCAATGACCCCATATTCAATGGTCATTCCTTCATCCTCAGCAATCTCTCAGTAGCATTTGATAACAACTCCTACTTTCTTGAAATAACTTCTTTTTGCTTCTGCAACATTCTCCTAGTTTTTGTCTTAACTCACTGGCCACTGTTTTTTAGTGTTTTGTTGGTTCTCCTTCTTCTGACCACCCCTTAATTTATGGACATTCCACAGGGTCTGGGTCTAGTTCTTTTTTCTTTCAATAGCATCTCTCTAGTTGATCATTTATCCATTCCTCAGTTTTAAATACCGTCTCTATGTAGATGACTCCAAATTTTATTTCTCCCCTGTATTTCAAACTGAAATATCCCCACTTAGATAACCAGGAGACATCTTGGCATCTTAACTTTAACATATCCAAAGGAGAACTCTTATTTCTCACCCCAGCACCCAACAAAACAGAACAAAAAAACACCCGCTCATTTCTCAGACTTTTTGACCCTCATAGAAATCATGATATTCTACATCAGAGGTCAGTAACATTTTCAGTAAGGATATTTTAGTCTACTGTTCCAAACAGTCTCTGTCACACTACTTAACTACTCTACCACTGTGGGGCGAAAAGTAGCCAATGACAATACTTAGCTAATGAGTAAGGCTATGTTCTAACATAATTTTCTTTACAAAAACGGGCCTGATATGGTCTGCAGGTCGAAGTTGGCTAACCCCCATATTACTATACTGCTCTCTGATCTCATCATCAACCATTTTCCTTCTTGCTCACTACTCTCCTGCACCACTCTCTTTTGGTTCCTCAAAGACATCAAGCTCCATCCACCCTAGAACAAACTTTTTTTCTCTGCCTAGAACGAACTTCCTCCAAATCTTAACACAGCCAACTACCATCCAGCTTTCCAATTAGAAAACACCTCCTCACACAGGCCTCTCCTGTCACCCAATACTTTGGTGGCCTGTCCTATCCCCATCACTCTCTATCAAAAAAACCCTTAATTATTCCTATTTTGTTTACTTATTTATAGTTTGTTTCTCCACAGGAATGTAAATGTCATAAGAACCACTACCTTGTCTATTCTGTCATAAAAGTATCCCAGAGCCTGTATCAGTGTCTTTCACACAGCAAATGCTTAATAGTATTGCTGAATAAATAATGCATTTACTTAGATGAGACTATTTTAATTAGGTTTAAAATGCCTAAGTATATGAAAAACTATTTACTGGCAAATGGCCGTTTTTTCTTATTTAACATGTTGTAAATGTATAGAGTTCATATTTATTTTATGAAAATCATGTGCTTCCACTGTATGGACATTTTGTAACTAAAATTAAGCCTGAGACAGAATGTTAATTCCCTATTTCTAGATAAAGATACATTCTCAAAACTTGGCTGTTTTTATAGAAAACTTTCTACATTGTGCATTAAAACTCTATTTTGAATACATGTCAGAATAAAGTCACAGTAACCTGTTAATTTCTAATAAATCATGTGATATGTGATATAACAAAATGTGTAAGAATTTTTTTTAGGTCCACTTTGGAGTTTTTTCTAAATTTTATGGAGGTAGTAGCCTCTCCAAGGTACAATCCATCCAATAATTTTTTCAAGGCTTCCAAAAGCACTTCTCCTAACAAGGAAATAAAATAGTAAGTCAAAAAATCAGCTCAAATCTGGAGTTAAAACTACTCAAAGGCTGAAAAATTAAGACCTCAGAACTAAAAATACAAGTACAACATGTACTGAAATTGCTCTGTAACTCATTAGGTAAAGGAGAGAAGGAAAAAAAACCCTGGAAAAACAAACTAAACAACTCTGAAGAAGCCAATATATATCTTTTTAGATACTAATTATCCTTTCTCTAGTACCTTAGTATTATATAATATATTGGCAGTATTGCAACTGAATATAATATATTCTATCTTTGCAACTGAATATAATATATTCTATCTGTAAATCTACGCATTATAAAATCTGTGGTAAATCTCTACTGGAACGTAAGAAATGCTATAAAATATCTACTTATGGAAAATAAAGTTGGAATGCAGGGTGATGTTGGTTGCAAGCAGTTGACAATACATGTCTTGGCTATGTGTTGCAAAAATGATCCTTACCTTTTAGGAGTTGGTGATGCAAAACGCAGTTCTTCAAATGAGTAATTTTCATAAACCTTTAAGAAGAGACCAGTAAGAATCCAGTAAAGTAAGAAATTCCATCAAGACCAGTAACTCATTAGAAACATTCCTAAGGCAGTGATAAGACATCAATAAATGGTGCTGAGACAACTGGTTCTCCATATAGGAGTAAAAGAAAAACTCAATTACCTGCATCATACCCTCTACAAAAATAAATTCTAGGTGTGTTAAAGACCCAAATGTAACAAACCAACCATCAACAAATTTAGAGGGAAAAAAAAAATCTTTTGAGTACATTAAAATTTTAGATTTTTCCCAAAGACATTATAAATAAAGGGCAAGGATAAGCCTTCACCTGGGAGAAGAGGATTTGCAATTCACATAACCAAAACAGGATATGAATCCATTATATAAAGATTGCTACAACTGGACCTGGAGAACAATCTGTTTCTTAATACAAGGAACAAAAAAGTCTGGAAAAAATTATGGTGAAATGTAAAGACAAAAATGGACTGTAGGTCCCTGAAACTAGTTTCATTATTCCTAATATTTTTGTATTCTTGCAACATTGCCAAACTGATCACTATCTTTCAAAGTTCAGGTAAAGTTCTCCAACTGCTCATTCACTTCTAACTTCTACTCTGCTTAGAGTAAAGAGAGGCACACCCATACCACTCAGAAGCCTCGTTCCTTTCTCCCACTTTTCTATTTTCATGAATGTGATTTAGAAGAGATCTAGCTGCCTTTACCTACTAAAAGTCACAAATGAGAAATACGCTGCTTAAGGTTAGGTCTAGCAGAAAACCCAGGGTTCCAGATTCCTAGCACAATGTGTTTTCCACTCCACCATTTTCCCTCAAAATACATACTGCATTTACTAATGAAAGAATAGATCATATCTCATTTTCCCATCCTCCACAATATTTGGCTGACTGCTGAGTAGCACAGAATAGGTGTGAATGGCTGATACAAGAAAATCCCTTTCCTGGAACATACATTGATATCTCAGAGACACTGTGGGAATGGTATTCTGTAAATGCTCTAACCCTAGGCTACTCAGAATAGTCTTGAAAAACTGCATCCAGTTCTGGTAACCAGATTTTCAAAAGAAATTACACAAATTGAAGCATGTTCATAGGAAACTGAAAGAATGATTAGGGAGGTAAGGGGACCAAAAAGTAAATCCTTAAATAAAAATGGAAATGAATGAGAATGTTTATCTTCAAATTCTTTAAGTCAGTGGATGAGTCATCCAAAACTCCAGCTTTTCAGTTCCCTCAATTCTTCAACCTCAACAAACTTAACTTCAACTCACACCAAAAGTCATAGACCTGTGACATTCTGCAGAATTGTTCTTTCTCGGAATCACAACGAAAGGGCCTACTCACAGTCTTCTGCCTCAGTGACTCCTACTGTATCTATTCTTAGATTACTAGTCCTTTTCTTCCCAATTCCCTCTCTCTGGATCTTCATCTATCATCCTGTCCAAACCAAGTAAGTTCCACTGTCCTTTCTTTAAGCACCATCTGCTGAACTCCCTTTTCACACTACTCATCTGTGGAGCTATCTGGCAAAACTTCAACGCTGAATCAATCCAAATGATTACCTTACCCATGTTCGTACGACACACACTGCAATGTTAATAATACAGGATCTCCAATTTCATCTGATTCTTCAAGGATGGGTGATAACTCTTTTCTCATCAGTTCTCTTTCATTCTCCGTAATGAATATTTCTTTTTCCCCCTTTGTTTTAAAATCTCGACCCTGACATTCATCGCTCCTAATCCAACTTAAAACGTGTAATTACTGGGGCGCCTGGGTGGCTCAGTCATTAAGCGTCTGCCTTCAGCTCAGGTCATGATCCCAGGGTCCTGGGATCAAGCCCCACATTGGGCTCCCTGCTCGGTGGGAAGCCTGCTTCTCCCTCTCCCACTCCCCCTGCTTGTGTTCCCTCTTTTGCTGTGTCTTTCTCTCTGTCAAATAAATAAATAAAATCTTAAAACAAAACAAAACAAAACCCCGTATAATTACTATCATAATAAACAATTCTTTTGGCTGCACAACTTACAAATTAACAAGCATCTGTATTAATTACTTTCTTTTCCCTCTCCTGTAGGGTGAAAGAGGTGATACTCCTACTTAAGGCCCATCCCTCCCTTATAAAGAGTCTGGAGCTCTAGACTCTATTTTCATCTCTCAGACTATCTTCCTGGTTTCCTTCCTCTGGACTGTCTCCTCATCAGTATTAAAACATCTAAGTCCTGGGACGCCTGGGTGGCTCAGTCGGTTAAGCATCTGCTTTGGGCTCAAGTCATGATGCCAGGGTCCCGGGATCGAGTCCCGCATCGGGCTCCCTGCTCGGCGGGAAGCCTGCTTCTCCCTCTGCCGCTCCCCCTACTCGTGCTCGCTCTCTCTCTCAGATGAACGGATAAAATCTTTAAAAAAAAAAAAAAACAAAAAAACAAAAACATCTAAGTCCTTCTCTATTCATCCCAAACTTTAAAGCCTTCAGTCAATTCCATTTCTGCTGTTTCTTCTTAGAACCAAATATCTTGAAAGACTTAATCTACTCATTTTGTCTTTATTTTCACTTCTGCTCCATCTATAAATTCTTCCAACCTACGATGCCTTTAAAACTGCTACTGCCAAGATCACTGATGAACTCATTGTTGCTAGATCCTTCTGCAGCATAACTTTGTTAACCCCTCCCAAACTGCTCTTTCCTTTCCTTTCAAGACATGCTGTAAGGAAGTCGGCAGGAAAATCAACTATGGAGTCAGACTTCCTGCCACTTGTGTGGCCTTGAACAAGTTACTTAACCTCTCTCTGTGCTTTAGTTTCCACGTACATAAAATGGGAATAAAAACAGTAATTTATAGGGCTGTTGTGAGGATTACGTGAGTTACCGTACGTTAAGTGGGGGAAAAGTGGCAAAAAGTAAATGCTCGTCCTAGCTTAATGTCTTACCTCTTTGGCTAATATTCTTATCAATGTTTCTTTTTTTCTTTCCTTTCTTTCTTTTCTCTTACCTTTTTATTTTGTAAATCAATGTTTCTCAAAATGTAGGTTTTGAATTTGAATCATCACTCTGTATATTTGCAAATTCTTGAACCTCTCTCCAGACGCACTGAATCTCAATCTTCGGATTATTGGAAAATCTCCTTTTTAAATAAGTGCTCCAGATGATTTTGATGTAGACAAAAGTTTGAGAATCACCAATATTGGTGTTTCTCAGGATTCTGCCCTGGAACTTCTCCCTTCACTCAAAATGTAAGATAGATATCATTTGCTTCCATGATATCATGAGTAATCCAGTGCTAATTGTTCTCAAATTCTTTTCTTGAGGTAAGATCTGTGATCACTTCAGGTTTGTACAACAAACTTCCTTTTATATATCTTCACATGGATATTTCAGAGATACCTAAAATTCATCACACCCAAAAATATTATCTTCCTCAACCAAAACCTGCTCTTCCTCCAATATCAATCTTACTACTTAAGGTCAAACTGTGAATTTCACCTTTTAATTCTTACCTCTTTCTCTTTATCCTCTTCAGCCACCAAGTCCTACTGATACTAAATATCTTCTGAATCTATTCTCATTAGTTCAAGGGATTAGCACATCTCACCACATTAAGTCAACAGTCTCCTAAAGGGACTTAAACCTAACCATGCCTCGGGGCGCCTGGGTGGCTCAGTCGGTTGAGCGACTGCCTTCGGCTCAGGTCATGATCCCGGAGTCCTGGGATCGAGCCCCACATCGGGTTCCCGGCTCGGCGGGGAGCCTGTTTCTCCCTCTGACCTTCCCCCCTCTCATGCTGTTTCTCTCTCGCTCGCTCTCTAATAAATAAATAAAATAAAAATCTTTAAAAAAAACAAACAAACAAACAAACAAAAAAAAACCTAACCATGCCTCTTGATCATCTGTCCAATTATTCTCCGTATTCCGCTATGATCTTTATAAAACACAAATCAGTAACTGTGCCGTTCCTCTAACTGAAAGCCTTCAGTGGCTCACCACTGCTCTCTGTTACTGGCACAATTCCTAACTCCTGCTTTAACTAATGCACAACCTGCTAATTTAGTCCAGTGTTGCCTCTGAAGAGAACTAAAAATGCTGCACAAAATATTTTTAAAAATCTATCTAAAAGCACTGGAGAGCAAAAAAAAAACCCAAAGAAGTAGAAAACCCAAAGACATGAGGCTGGCATGTGACAGAACCCCAAAATCGAAGGGGGCCTAGGTAAACCGAATTCCTGAAGGGCTATGTCCTAGGTGGGAGAAATGGTAATTGAAAATAGACAAATACTTTTGCAGGAAATGAAACTGAGTTTTCAACCATCTCAATCTCTGATTGGATTAACTCGATCTATTGCTAGAATCCCCCCCTAGGCCTCCGCCAAAAAAACAAATGAAAATCCTCTTTGGAGGAAAAGAAATCATCCTAAAAAAAAATATTCCAAATTTGTATCTATCAATAGCTCTCTAGACCTGTCATTTTGTGTCTGCGTTTGGATCACTGAAATATCTGTTAAGTGAATAAATGATGGAAAATAAAACTTTTCTGATGAGTGAAATAAATTACCTTCATCATGGTAATGGCAATATACCGAGCCTCCTTCACTATCATCGGTTCGTAGGAAACATCCAGCTTTGGTGATGCGAGCCCGCCAAAGGTCATATCGGTATTAGACGGCACAGCTGCTACTGCAGGGCTGCCAGGGATCCTTTGAGGTTTTTTCACTTGCTCTTGTTGCAAAGATGTTTTTTTCTGAGAAACAGGAACGGCTTTCACTTCCACCTAACCATATTATAAAAATCAAATACTATTACTATATAATTGTCCATGACACATTCAAAGAAACAATTAACAAGTATGGACCCACAACTCCATAAATTTTATGTGACCACTTGGTCCGTCTTGGGCAGTCCTTTCAAAGGTGTGCGGGATGACTTCAAGATACTTCCACAATGTGAATCTGGAATGCACCATGTAAAAGAGGCCTTGATTTTTGGAACAAACAATCATAGATATCAAAACATAAAATAAAAATAAATGCCACTATTCATAAAGTATAGCACAGTAGAAGGAACCTACACCAAATTCTTGAATTCTTGCAGGGAATAACATTAAATTACTTTATTAGGTAATTCAAGTATACTTTCCCACAATCTCCACATATTTTAAAGCACTAATCTCAATTTTAGCTGTACTATTCTGCAGAAGAAAATGTACTCCATTGATAAGACTTAAAAAATAACACATAATAAAAGAAATTTGGACTGACATAATGCCCTGGGAATATTACAAATCCATCTTATATTTAAAACACAGAAGTTTAAAGGTATGAAGTAAAATTCTTCAGCTTATATGCATTGCCATCATTAAAAGCTTTAAACTTTAAATGTAATAAAAAGAAAAAAAGGGGGAAAAGATAAAAAGTAAACACTTTCAAATTTAAAGACACTTGATTTTTTAAATTACAGCCATTATTTTTATACATATATTTTGATTTAATCTTTCTTTAAACAACTACATTTACTCTAAGTAAATTAGCATCAAAAGTACATTTGCCTATGTACTATGAACCTTGAAGTAAATCACTAAACAATTTAAGAATCTAAGAATACCGAGATACTGTAGAATGATAGTTATTCCGCTTTCTTTTTATAAACTACTCTAGGAGTGAATAGGATTTCGTGGCTCAATCAATTCTAAGCTTCAAACAACCAAATCGCTTTGTAACAACACATCTTTGAGGGGGTGGGGGCAGCTGGGGAATTGCCTGTAGCCAATTTTAATTCAATACACATTTTTTAGAAATATAATAAAAGTTTTAAATGAGATATTTACATTAATTATACCATAATGGATTCATTTTATGCATTACAATATGCTCTAAAATGTCATTATTAATTAATGTCTCAGGAAAGATGTATCCAAATAACTATAGTCATTAATGTAGCGCATGTCTATTTCCATTCCTCATTCTTTTACCATCCAAATTCATGTGTTTCTAATTTTTTTATTAAGTTTTTTATTCTAATTCCAGTATAGCTAATATATAATGTTTCAGGGATACAATATAGTGATTCAACAATTCTATACCTTACTCAGTGCTTATCACACTAAAGACCTACTTCAGTCATCATCCCCAAACCCCCCTCCCCTCTAGTAACCATCAGTTTGTTCTCTACAGTTAAGAGTCTTTTCTTGGTTTCTCTCTCTCTTTTTTCCCCTTGTTTTTTTACATTTCACATATAAGTGAAATCATTTAATATTTGTCTTTGTCTGACTTATTTCTCTTACTATTATACTCTCTAGCTCCATCCATGTTGTTGCAAATGGCAAGACTTCATTCTTTTTTGTGGCTGAGTAATATTCCATTGTGTGTGTGTGTGTGTGTGTGTATGTGTGTGTGTGTGTATTACCACCTTTTCTTTATCCATTCATCTATTGATGGACACTTGTGCTGCTTGCTGCTTCCATAATTTCACTATTGTAAATAATACTGCAATAAACACAGAGGTGTATGTCCCTTTGAATGAGTGTTTTTGTATTTTGGGGTAAATAACTAGTAAAGTGTGATTACTGGATCACAGGGTAGTTCTATTTTTAACTTTTTGAGGAGCCTCCACCACATATTTCTAATTTAATATGTATAAATATTGTATTTTAAATGTTGTTTCAACAGTACCAAGTGCAGAATGTATTTGAGTCTTTTTTAAAATTTAAACCCAATTAACATACAGTGTATTATTAGTTTCAGAGGTAGAGTTCAGTGATTCATCAGTCTTATATAATACCCAGTGCTCATTACATCACATGCCATCCTTAATGTCCATCACCCAGGTGTTTGAGTCTTTTAAAAAATACATACAAAATTTAAAAATGTGTTCTTTCATTGATTTATTCAACCACTATATATTACGGGCCTTCCTTCTATGTGCATATATGGATACTTTCTTATCCTTCCCTTGAATCACCATAGCTCTTAGCAAAATGTAAGACACAAACAATAAAACATATAACTTGGAGAAGTGTGTACTAATTAATATAAATAAATCATTTAAACAATTTTTTGGCTTCCTCTACTTACAAGTATGAAGACAGTACTGCAAATGGACTCTAACCACTTGTTTTTTCTAAAATTTTATTAGTTAAAATAGTCCTTTGATGACCATTAATTTATTTCTGATATAATTACCTTCATATTGGGAACATGTACCACATCCCCATATTGGTCTTTTGTTTGAACAGTTATGGTGGTAGGCCAACCACAACGAATATCATCCTTGTTCAGGATCAGAGATGTTTTCTGAGGATCAGCATAGGAGTCCGGCTGAAGCCACCTGGCAGTGATGAAAAAGCAAGCAAAAAACTAAATATTCATCAGTATCTTTAATGATTAACATGAAATTAAGCCAAATGAATAAAACCTGTATCAAACAAAATGCTAAAACAATATCTTCATTTCCAATTCAGTGACAATCACAAGTGTCTCCCTTGCAAATTGTTAATGACAAATTCATTAAAAAATACACCAAAGTACAGGAGACTTCTGATGTTTTTATAAATAAAATAGAAATAATTCTAAAATCAGAAAAATTGACATTTTAACACGGCTGACATAAAATAACCAAGAAAATGAATTTAGGTTATATATATTTGAAGTCCTAAGTACACTCATTTCACTGAGGGAGGTCTGCCTTAATTTGCCAGCCTGAAAACCTGGGAAAGAACAGCTCCTCTGTAAAAGCAGTGACAGAAATGGCATTCTGCTTGCTTGAGAACAGCTAGGTTAAAGATACACTGTCCATCTTCTCTTCACACAATTTTCCAACTATCTTCCCTCATTACCTTCCATGAACATTTGTCAAATTTCTATACTTTGGGATATCCGTTCTTGTATTCGTTGCATGACCTACATTCAAGTTGTCCTGGGAGATGAGTGATAAGTAATTCTGTTACATAAAGAATCCACAAAGTTAGCAGTGAGGCTGACTTGAAAGATTTTCTTTCTCCAATTACCATTTTGGTTTTTAAAAACCACGGAAGAATCTCTTTTTTTAAAATTAAAACTGGGAAGAAGTTAGACTTCTATATTTACTAGTAAAATCAAACAAGCTAGCATATTTTTTCTTTTCATTAAAAAAAGAAAAGCATATAGCAAAAAAAAATGAGAACTCTACAACCTCAAATTATTTCATTTAAATTCTTAATTTATATTTATATTATTGGTAGATTTCCAGAGAAATCTTATTAAAATAAAATATAGTGATAAATTTAAGTTTAGTCTAGATATTAAATATTACTATCGAATACATATACTTCTCAATTACACCATGTGCTCCACCCATTTTTTAAATAAAAGTTCACCAAGGAAACTTTAATCAACTAACAACTACCATATATTTAAAAAATATTTTAAAATATTTACCATTTTATACTTCAGCAAGTTCAAAACACATACACCAGATTATTTTAGGCTGCATTTTAACATCCTAATGACTTTCCTTTTGTGTCTCTTCAGAAATGAAGACAGGGGTAAGCCCTGAAAGTCAGGAATTGTAGTGCTTAAAGCATATTACCTTGCAAGCCTGCCACCACTTGATCCTGGAACACAAGCAATAAAATCATCCAGAAACGACTGTTCATTGCTTTGGATTTGAAGTGGTAAGTTTCCTTCAAGTGCCTCTAATATAGTTGGTGAATGAGAAAGAGCTAAACCCTTTCCAAGAATACCAGAATGGGTTTTGCACACCTGATGGGTAAAAGAGAACAGTTATGTATTTAAAATGTAAAATTTCAATTACAAGAGTTTTTTGAACGTGCACAATTTTAGGGAGGCCTTTTTGGGGAAAGTATTTTCTCTCTATGCCCCAGGGCTCCTTTAGCCTACAATATAGAAAAGCTCCCCAGGACAGAAAAAGATGGGATAATACTTCCAGCCTCCTTCCTTCCACCCAATTAAGTGACACATCAAAGACCTGCAAGCTAGTTGTGATAGTGCATCTCTGCCCACTCTAGCCCTCCCTGTGATGCATCCCCATCTGTCTGGGCCAGGCTTCCCTTCTACAGGCAGCTGTGGAAGTCTTCCGCTTTTTGTGTTCCCATTATTGGTATCTTTCATGGTTGGACTATCTCTGCTCTCTTAGGTGGGTGGGTACCAAGGTCCTACCTTGGGCTAAAAGTGGACAGAAGCCTGACCGTGGCTGCACATAAACTCTATTAGCCTGTCTAAGCCTTAATTAAAATTAAGAAAAAAAGGCAGATAAAACTGAAATTTTAGTTCTCATTGATCTGACAAACAAGCCTTATGTTTTGGAAAGACCTGCTTTAAATGCTGAAACTCTAGAAACTTTTTAATGACTGTATTATAAATTTCAAAACAAAATACTTTTCATAGGAAAGGATTATACTTCCAATACTACCACCTTTATACAACAGTACCTTCTGCATTCTACAAGATATGCCATTTTAAAAACAATGATCTTTAAAATCAAACTGACTTGAGTTCAAATCCTGACTTAGGACAAGCGCTGCTGTGTACACTTAAGCTAACAAGTTACACACCGTTCCTGAATCTGCAAAATGTATAAACCGGTGATCAAATAAATATTTCTCTTCTGTGGTTAGTATAAAATTTAAATTATATAACACATATAAAGTGTACACTACATTGCCTAACAAGTAGCAGGTCTTTTTTTTTTTTTTTAAGATTTATTTACTTATTTGAGAGAGAGAGAGCGCGAGAGAGAGAGAGAGAGAATGGGGGAAGGGGCAGAAGGAGAGAATATCCAAGCAGACTCCCACTGAGCCTGGGGCCTGATGCAGGGCTCAATCTCACAACCCATGAGATCAGGACCGGAGCTATAACAGTCAGACGCTTAACTGACTGAGCCACCCAAGCGCCCCAAGTAGCAGGTCTTTAATATATGTTAGACCACCGTGACAACTACCGTATGTGCCAAAAACGTGGGCAATCTGGGACATCAGGTTTTTTTTAACAGAAGCACAATAAACATCTCTTTATATCTGGCCTAAGTGACATTTTATAAACCACAATAATCCCTGTAATAATGAATAACATATGAGCTCCCTGATAGTCCTCTTTAAGTAGAATATTGTCTGATACATACTGTATTTATTAAATGTTTGTTGAATTTTTATTTTTGTATCTTAAAGCAAAAAAAATTTAACTTTTTTTAAAAAACAAACACAAAAGCTGGTGATCTTTAAAACCCAGAAGTTTCTTAACATTATTGAGGATACCAGGGCTCTCTACAATTAATTAGAACATAGTAATCAAGATCACGGACTTCGTAACCCAATTGCCAGAGGTCAAATTCTAGCCTGGCTGCATGATTCTGGGCAAGTTACTTAAGTTCTCCATGCCTCAGTTTCCTTACTTATAAATGGAGATAAAAGTCTTTCATTCATGGGGCTGCTGTGAGGACTGAGTTAAAAATCTGCAAAATGTTTGGAATAGTACTTGATAAGGTCAAGATCAAATAAATGTTTGTTTTTATTATTACTGCTGTGATCAATTCATCTCGGGAAATAAATAAGATTTAAACCACTAGCTGTAGGTATTAGACCTGGATACTAGCCTCTATCTCCCAATTAGTTGAATTCTTGGACAAATCACAGGACTTCTTTGAACTGCAGTTACTGTAACTGCAGTTACAATAACTGACCTCAAAAGATAATACTGACCTCAAAATGTAAATGCTAAAATAGGTAATATTAAAGATACAATAAACTATAAAGTGTTCTATAGATATTATTTAAATTACTACTACTAATACCCTTTTTTCTCTTTTTCTAACTGGTAAATAAAACTTCTTTTGAGATCCAATTTAAATGTCAACAGCTCTTCAAAGCCCTCCTCCCCTATGCCCCCCGCATTTGGTAACTCTTCTTTCTCCCACAGGATTTATGTCTCACTCCAGATTTAACAACCACCATGCAGCACAGCAAGAGCTTGCTTGGGTTTCTCCCACCAAGAAATTTATGACTTACGCATCTTTATCTGCCAATGAATAGAATGAAGTACTTAATGAAAGTCCTATATTCAAGAAAAATAAGGTTATCTGAATGAAAATACTGCTTTTAAATTAATGTACAAAGTTTATCCTTATGATGTTTGGGACAATACCTGCAATGCGGCCTCTTCAAGAATTTCAAGATCTTCCTCTAATTCATTACCTGTTGTGTGAATGAAAAGTTTTATCAACATATATCAATATTTAGTGAATGAAGAAAACAAAACAAAACAAAAAAAACATATATCAATATTTAGTTTAACTTTCTAGTCCTTTGCATTTATTACACCTTTTTCACAATTCTGATAGTCCAGATTGAAAAGAACTATTATCATTCTGGATCAGTCTCAGTGCTTTACATTTTAAAATGTAATTTTCAGTGTGAATATAAGCCATAATTCTCAAGGCAATACTCAAAAAGTATCCATTGAGTGATTTGCACAAGATACATACTATATTTAGGCATATAAATATGTACTTTTGAATTTAGCCTATTTATAATCCCTTCCTCCCCCAAATGAGGGAACTGATTATTCAGAATCTGAGCCTTTTTAACTTTGGTTATGTTATAGAAGAGCTACACCTTTAGTAAAAAGAGTAACTTACAGGAAAAAATAAGGTAGTGATTGTATCCTCTGTTTTCTCCTTTATTGCTTAATATAAAACATATTTTATTTATTGAATTTCCTTTGATAGTTTAATTTATAAAATATTACTAAGGCAATACATCTTCAAAAGGAAATATTCAAATTATACAGAAGTGTAGAATGAAAAATTCTCCCATCACCTCCCTTCTGAAGATAAACAGTGTCAACACTTTATGTATTGTTCAAGAAACTGTGTGCAAATAAGTTTATGCATGTGTGTCAACATATATACTCGTGCACACATACACCTATATTCATACATATATATAACATTAATGTTCATAAAAATGGGACCCTCTTCTGCAACGTGCCTTTCTCAGTTAATATAGTTTGGAATCTTTCTTGTTCAGGACACAGAGATCTCCTTTTGTTGTTGGTTTTTAACAGCTGCACACATTTGCACTGTATGGATGTACCTTGAGTTATTCAACCAGTTTCCAACTGATATTTTGGTTGCTTCCAGGTTTTACAATCATAAGCACTGCTATATTAATCTATCTTACAACACATTTTTTGAGCATTTGTGCAAGTATGTACAACAACTGCTATATCAAAAAGTAGAAGGCATATAAAATTTGAACAGGTACTAACAAATTTTCTCCAAAGGTTGTACCCATTTTCTTCATATAAATGGAACACAAGTTGTCTCATTTGCTCATACATGTAACAACATTCAGTAGGAGCAGGGGAACTGACAAGCATGGAAGGGAGCAGGAAAAGCGAAGGGAACAGAGAAGTTAGAAAAGAGAAGATAAAGAGAAGGGAAGGAGGAGGATGAAGTGGGAAGTGGGCGGGGCTACAGATGGACTTGGGGAAATACAATAGTAATGCCTTTTATTCCCAAACACTGTGAAAATAAATGTTAAACCATGTCCAAGCATCATAGAATCAATAAAGATTTTTAACTTTAGTTTCATCTTTACCATCCTGATCTTAAATCAACTTACATATCATACAAATTTGTGTCATATAAAGAGGTACTATTCCTGCCAGTGCCTCATTTCTCTGCTGTGCTTCACATGAAGACTCTTCTAAAGAGCGATCTAGTTTTCAACCTGCCCCCCCCCTTCTGACTACCTATTCTCTCACTCCAATCTAAAGGCCTTCAGTTCCTCTTATATTTCTTGTTGAGTATATAAGTAATCAACCAGTTTTTCCATCTGATGGTAGATTTAAATTGACTTCTCAATTGCATTCAAAAGTCCCACGAATGTCCCCTCTCCTGGTTTTACTTCTACCTCCTCGGCTGCTGTACCAGAGTGTTTTTTGCACCCTCTTACTCCTGTCTGTCCATTTTTGACACTCTGGCAAGTCCCACCTTTGATCCTGGGTGATCTTCTCGTTCTCATTTGCATTCTCTTCCTAGCTCATCTTTCACATGGTCCATGCCTTTAAATATCACCTGTGTTCAAATGACATTTCCACTGACTTGTCCTGAGTGCCAGACAATGAATATTCAACTGCCTACTTGATATGTCCACTAAGATATTTAAGAAATATCTCAAACTTTTGGTTTAATATCATATATCCAGTGCTTAACCCAGTGCCTGGCACCTAGCATGTATGTGCCTAAGGAGGGTTTGTGTACATGTCTGTGTGTGAATAAAAAAGGCCAGAGGATACTCCAGTAAAGAAAACCCAAACTACCAGTATATTAAACAGTTACTATTCATGAATGTATCTATCAAATTCATTTTGCTAATTTATTTCAGAATATCCTAGATAAACATATTCTACTATTGAAATTTTTTTAAAAAATCATAAACACCTAGTACTTGACCAGACTTACCAATAGGAAGTGCTAGATCCTTTTTCATCAAAGCTGAGGCACAAACTCCACCAAGATTGGCTAATTCTTTTTCCAGCTGAATGACTCCCTGGATAATTATTAAAAAAAAAAAAGAAAAAAATCAGCTGCTTTAAAAAAAAATGTTTGGGGGCGCCTGGGTGGCTCAGTTGGTTAAGCGACTGCCTTC